ACAGTTACCATGGCTACAGTCTTCATTTAATAACTCATAACTTGTCCCCAAAGCATCGCCTAATTGATTCATTTAAGGGTTCTACTTTGGGTGGGAAAATGAAGCTCTTAAGATCTCTGTGTGTTCCATCGTTGCCTGGAAGAAGCATAATGGACTTGACAGAGCTGGACCCAACCCTGCTGCCACACAGGTCTCTTCAAATGAGATCCAGGTAGTCTTCTTTATGGCTACAAATGGGTCTTTCTGTGTGCAACAACAAAAAACCAAAGTTCCTTTCCTCTGGTGTGTCTGTGGTGCTACTTTGGAGCCTTTAGGGATCTATACTGTCTTTGGACCATATGTCTGATAAACCTACCCTTAACACTTCAGGATCTGTAGGTTCCCTTGTACCTCCTGTTTCTGCCTCCTTTATGCTTCATGGAGCTCTTCCCATAAATCTCTTCTATGTAAAATTCCATATTGCCATTGGCTTCTTGGACAACTGGAATGAATGCCTCTAACAGTTGACTACCTTACAAAATCATCAATGAGAAGCACTAAAGACAGTGTGGATGAAGGTGTCACTTTCAAAAAGCCTTCTGCAAACACTGCAGCTCCAAATGCAGTCAAATGCAGGTTCTAGTCACATAATAATGGATCAATGAAGGAGGTTCATGACCTGCTCACAGGCACAGAATGTCTTAAACCCTTTGTCTGTGTGTACTTAATCTGTGAATTTCTACAAAGATCTTAGCTACCGTGTCAGTTAACATGGTAACTCTCAAATGACAATAATGTGAATCAGCACAAAACAACCTATTTTACACAATAATAAGTGTGGATTCATATTCCATCCCAAACTCAGTAAATACTAGTCACCTTTGAAGCTCTGCAAAAGGTCTGTGATATAAAGATGAGTAATGGTGGCTTTCAAGAGGGAAGGGGGGATGGAGTGGAGCTGAGGTGTTGGGAGGATTGAAGATTGGGGAGGAGGGGAGGGAGAGGGAACTGAAAGTGACATGCGTAAAAAGTTAAATAAAAAATATGGAAAAAATTAAAAAAATCTATCAGGTCCAATTTGTACCACCCAAATTAAAAAAAAATAAGAGAGAAGCCATACCTCGAAAGAAGGTGAGGTGAGCAAATTAAGTAATTGATCAGTAGATAAAACTTTCAGACTAGAGATGAGAGACTAATTCTTGGTAGAAGATGCTTCCCTTTTCAGCCTAGACAGTGCACTGAGCTAACCCAAGGGATTTGGCCAGAAGGCACCTTAACAGCTGTTCTCAAGGAGAAGGCCTATGTCAGCACCATTTATATCAAGTACACTTAGAACAGTTGTGTCAGCAGCATAACTGCTGGCATTTCAGCATCTCTATTTTACACCCCCTAAATTGTGTACACTTTAATTAGACTAAAGCCCTGGAATGGTTTGTTGATAGCTCAACCTGGATGTAATGACTTCCTAAGGGAAACATCCCTGCCCTACCCTGGGGAATCATGTAATATTTGTCTTTGTAAAGCCAGTCCCTCATGGTGTGTTCCCTCTAGAAGATTATTCTCAAAAAGCAATAACTTTACCCCCTGAATCTAGTGGAATATTTATGGTGAACTGGGATCAATAATTTTGTCTGGACACCTGCAGACTTCTGTGCTCTGCTAGTACCAACTTCAGTCACATGCTCTATGCTATTATTCAAGCAGGTTGTCTCTGAGGGAGCAAGTTTCTCTAAAGACAGAGATCGGTGGGCCTCCAAAAGCTCACGAACATTTTCAGAATTCTCCCCCATAATGTCTTGACTCTTTGAACCATTCCTTAATTAAAAAAAAATCTTCCTCCACTATCACTCTTTCTCAGTGCCTAGTTAGGCTGAATGATGTTTTAAAGAAAGAACAGGCCAGGTTAATTCCTGAAAATCTCAAAAGATTTTGTTAAGTAGGGGTGGGACAACAGTGTATATGTGGGAGAATTATGTCCAGTTAGGTTTGGAAAATAATCCTTTGAAGCCCTTCCCGTGGGGAGCAGGATGCCAGGAAGAAACATCAGAGGAGAGTGAAAACTGAGTAAGACTTTTGAAGTAGAAATCAGAGATGTCTTTATGATGATGACAACCAGATACTGACTTCGAACAAAACAATTGGCACCTCCACAGAAGTTCCTCTCTCGCCAGTAACTGAGTTCCTTATATCTCAGTATCTCCTGGAGACTGCTTTCAGTATCTTCTGAAAGGAGCTTTTGTGATACCATGAATCAAAATGGATATTCTGGAATTATGCATGTATACACACAACACACAGCAGAGGGAGATAGAGAGACTTTTGGAGCATACATTTTCTTCTTTTATCTTATATCCTGATTCAGGGTCTCAGTGTGCATCCCAAACTGGCCCTGTGGGGGTTCCTTCTTTCTTCATGGTCCTTTGGCTACCTGGACACAAGGGCAGAGAGGGCAGAAATGACAAGCAGGGCTTTGTCCTGCTGGTGCTATGATGGAAATAGCTTCTAGCACAGTGTTTCAGTGCTACAGCTCGACTTTATTCAAGAGTGAGGGCACATTTATAGAGTCAGGGGCAGTGTATGGAGCACAACCTGATTTGCCTTAAACAACTTGCTCCTATCATAAGGCTCCTAGCACAATGTCTAATTACTATATGGGCAACAGGGGAAAGCTTCTGCAGGGAACTGTATGAGGGGGTCATACTTGAGGTAAATCAGGCATCTGGGTCTAGAGACATTCTCCAAATAAAGAGCAGGAAGCCTCTGCTGTGGGGGAGGGTGTCTTCCATGTTGCAGCACGCTGGGACAGAGCTGCCAGGCCATTGTAGACTGCAACTTCTGACCAGCAGTGCCTCCCAACAGCCCTGACCTTGATATTCTCCTGCCTCAGCTTACCCAGAGCTAGAATTGCAGGTTTGCACCATGATGCCTCCTTGAGGCACTCTTGTTTGTTGCAGTAATTTTATGGTGTGGTCTACATGGGTAAAATGGTTACTATAATGATCTATGCCAACTCAGAGTTCTCAACTGTTAACTTCAAAGTCTTGACACTAGGTTCTTGACAGGGACGCAAAAAGAATAATGTAATGTTTAGTGCGAGACCAATATTCCCAACCAATAGCTCTCATAATCCCACTAGCTCTTACAAAAAGGATAAAACATATTTTCTTTAGTGCTACCAGTATTTCTTCCACATTTTAAAGATACCCTTTCAGAGACAATTTTCTGGAACAGCCAGAGTTCTGGATAGGAGGACCTGGACAGGATATATTGGGTGTCCTGTGTTACTTTGTTAACACATAAAAATAAATGTGACTTGAACTGCATATTTCTGAAGGCTCACAAATTGCTTTACTGCTGTCACCGCATAGCCACTCTTCAATCACTTTGAAGAATTATAAAGGACACAAAAAAATCTCTGAAGATGAAATAAGGGAAATGCGTCTTCTTCCTAATAAAAAGGAAAAAGGAGTGTCGCAGGAAATTATAGACTGCTGGTTGAATATGAGCTCCAGAGCAAAGGATCAAACAAGTCATTGCAATGCCTCATGAGCAGTAGGGAGCATGCCTTTTTGGAGTGTGCAGTCATATTAACTAGAATGATAAAGAGACTTGTTACATTTTGAAACAATTTTTAACACCAACGGGGTTATAAATCCATTGCATTGAATAAGTGTCATGGTGCTATAGACATGGGTCTAGTCTTTTCCAGAAACTATCCATGCAATTCTGAGTAACCATGTTTTTATTTGTTGCATTCTTAGATGCATTACTTGTCAATGCCCCTTGAAATCTGAGAAGCTCAAAACTGGGGTTCAAAATCCCAAGGATATTTGTACCTGTAATCAATGCCACTTAAGAGTAGCTGTTGACTCATAGGGGTCCCCACCTGTTGTGATCTGTGTTTTGATACAGGCTGTTGAAATGGAAATGTTCATGTATGTATCATAAAAATCCTATTCTGTTATCTTCCTTGTCCATTATGGATTACTGTAGATGTAGATAATTCACTCAAATTTAGCTGACCAAATTCTCTCCAGAATAACAAATGAGAAGATGGAAGGCTCATCTCTGATTTTTGTGGCTTGAGCAGCATGAGCAGCAAAGTCTCTCAGAACACCCTGTACTAGGCAGTTCTGGAAGTCCTGCACAGGAACCCGAGCAAGTGCTGCAAGTCGCTGGAAATGGTGGTGTTGCACATCAGCCTGAAGAACTGTGACCAGCAGAACGGCAAACACTTCTGGAGTGCCATCAGATTTAACTATACTCCTTGCCCCAAGTTCTCTGTGTTCTGGGGACTACCAGCACTGTGATGAAGCCACACCCCCCTTCCCCCGCGTGGGCATTGATGTGCTAAAGAAGCTTAATAAGAACAAGAATTTAGTCAAAAAGCTGGCAAAGAATTATGATGCCTTTTTGGCCTCTGAGTCTCTAATTAAGCAGATCCCATGTATCCTGGGCCCAGAGCCAAATAGGACTGGTAGGTTCCCTTTCCTGATGACACACAATGAAAACAGGATGGCCAAAGTTGATGAGGTGAAATCCATGATCAGGTTCCAGATGAAGAAGGTGCTGTGTCTGGCCATTGCTGTTAGCCACATGAAGATGACTGATGATAATCTGGTGTACAACATCCTCCTGGCTGTCAATTTTTTGGTGTTCTTGCTGGAGAAGAACTGGAACCATGGGCAAGCCCAAGCATCTGTACTAGGACATCCCAATAAAGCTTACTGCATCATCCCCATGGTTTTCCTGTGGTTAGGAGTAGAGTGTTTGTGAACTCAGTCATAGTCTCGGTAAAGAAAAAGAGAAAGAAGGCAGGGAGGAAGGAAGGGAAGGAGGGAAGGAGGGAGGGAAGGAGGGAGGGAAGGAGGGAGGGAAGGAGGGAGGGAGGGAGGACAGAAAGGCACTTAAAGATGGGGAATTGTCAATCTAGAGACACCAAAAGAGACTTTTACATTGTTAAAGAATGGAATGGAAGGAATAAGTGAATAGTGCTCTTAACACCCCCCCTCACCATTATAGATGCCTCTCCTTGCAGTGCCCAGGACCATCTAGAACCTTCAAGCCTGGATAGGGACGCATTTCCAATTTCTTCTCTTTGAGATACTCTATAACTTTATACTACTACCTAGAGTCAACCAGAGGTCTCAAAACCTATAACCCAGACTTATGGTGTCATAATTAGGATTCCATGGCCAGATTCTGTTTTCACAAAGTGACCAGATGAGGGAGTTACTTTTGCTAATTGGCATTGCATTTCTTCAATTTGATCATATGAGAATAGACTGTCAAAACAGTGTCAACACACTGATGTAGGAGCTCTATATACCCTATGGGTCCTTGTCCAACAATGTTACTAGTGGTAACAATGTAAACTTGCTTTGAGAAATGAAACTCTCCTATATAACCTACACAAGTATTAAATAAATACTTGTATAAATACATATAACACATAGTAGTATACAATATGGACATCTCATAAGCATCTATGTTATAAATTTAATATGTATCAAGTTCACATTTGATAAATTATTTATTATAAGTCACAATAAAGAATACTTCCTTTAGGTTTATAGGAGCCAGAGGGATCGAGGACCCCACAAGAACACTATCCACAGAATCAACTAAGTAGGCCTCATAGAGCTCACAGAGACTGAAGGGACAATCCCAGAGCCTGTGCTAAGTCTTCTACATATACCTTATGGTTGTGTAGCTTGGTGCTCTTATGGAATTCCTAATAGTGGGAGTGAGTGTGTCTCTGACTTCTGCCTGCACTTGGAACCCTTTCTTCCTACTGGGTTGCCTCATCCAATCTTGATGTGAGGGCTTGTGCCTAGTCTTATTGTAACTTGTTATGCTGTGTTTGGTTGATATCCTTGGGAGGCCTGCTCTTTTCTGAAGGGAAACAGAGAAGAAATGGATCTGGGGGAGACAGAAGATGGGAAAGGTAGGTCCTGGGAGGAGTGGAGGAAGGAGAAACTATTATCAATATTTAATATATGAGAGAACAACAACAAAAGAATACTTTCTTCAATAAACTACTACATATACCTAAAAACAGGCGAATAAACATCAAAACCAGTATTGGAAAATGGCAGCAGCAACATACAATTCTTCATTTAACATTAAAGTTGCGTTACTTCAATGAGAGCTATAATGTCACACTTGTAGGACTATAGGCAATGTTTCTTTGTGATTCTATTTTTTCTGTTTAGGGATCCAAACAAAAGACAGCAGAATCAGAAACTCTCAGCTTGAAGCAAACTAGTCATACTGAGGACAGGTGTGCAACTGTATCTCTCAAGCCCAGCCAACCACGTTGTCATATTGGGTTCACCTCAGCTGTCTGCATATAAACATTGATGCTACATCTCAAAGTGTTACCTTCATATTTCACCATTTCTACCTCATCTACCATTTTGCATTGGCTGTCTTATTTTGTTACATGTGAATAATCAATAATTAATCCTATAGTTTTAGAACTTAAAGGCTATCACACCATTAGGAAGAGCAAGATTAGTCAAGAAAAAAAACTAAAAATAAACATTGCAAACAGATTTTATGCATGCATGACCCTTGAACATACCAAGTATATTTTCAAATCTTCTTTAATCCACTTAATCAATGGTGTTAAATCAACACATTAGTCCTGTCAGTGCCTGCCTGGTCAAGCCCAAAGAATCAAACTCTGTGATTCAAACTAAAAGGAAAGTTTTCATGCTGGAAAAACTGTCAACTATCTCATGATTTTTTTCCCTCCCAGTTTATGAGAGCTCATTAAAGCAGCATTCATTCCCCTTAAACACCCACCTACAATTTACTGTCAAATATATCACCCTCAATTAAAGGATATTCTTCCTAATAATGTTTCCCAACATATACTTCTTTTTTTTCCTTTTAAAGAGTGAAGTGACTAGCAACTGTGAGAAAATAAGCTTGTTCATCACATTTTATCACTTTCCCTGCTATTTTTTTCTTTGAGACACCACTGTCTTTTTATGTCCATGCTGGCTGTGCATGTTTGTGACATCTATCACGGAGAGCCGTACCTGCCAGGACAAAAACACAGTACAGAGGAGGGACAGTCACTGCTGGCCAAATCCCTTTAGACTATGTCAGAATGAGTAATGGTGGTGGGAGCTTGCAGAAAAAACCCCAGAACCTGTGGGATTCTAGGACACTTTATCTAGATCAGAATTTGTGCAAATCCCCCATATTGGGTATTTTCTTTAAACATTTTTTATGTTTAACATAAGCCATACTTCCCTTTTTAAGGCTAAATCATTCAAGTTTCCAAGCTTCTCTCTCAACTAAGGACATTTTTCAGTGTTTTATTAGCTGGTTTGATGAGCAAACAATGATTTGGTGTTTACTTCTAAGGTTACCCAATGCCTTGAGACAGGATAACAGCCTTGCGTGAAATAGTATAAAGAATGGAAAACTGCAAGCACTGTCTGGCCATTGCCAGTTGCTTTTCTCAGAAAGGAGAATTGTGGGGTTCTCAGTTATATTTATTCTAAAATTCTGTGAGGTCCTCTTGCATGATTTTTTTAACTTTTTACTGTTGTTGTAGTTCTTTAAAATACACACACACATACAGATACATGAGATAGGATATTTATCATCCATACTGGTTACTGTTGCTTTTCATTCATCCTAACACGCTCTATCGAGGTGCTTATGACTAGGGAGGCGCATGTGGAGGAAAACCATTTGGCCACAGTTTAGCATTTAGAACAACTTCAGTGTTGGGATGCTGGCATTATCTCCAAACAATACATACAAGTATTCTCACAGGGTATTCATCATGCATGCAATTTTCCATGAGTCCTGTTGCTTAACTGGCTTTCGAAAATAAGGCCCTTGGTGACCTATGAATAGCATCTTGTATGTATGAATGGTTTTTATGTAAACATTTATGATATATAGCAATTTTCAAGAACTTTGTGTTATTTCCTCTGTGTTTAATATTCTGGAACCCTGGACAACTGGAAGTGGCTTGGGATCTGAAATATTCTTTTACCAGAACCTTCCATCCTTTGCTGTTCTAAGCATCAGCTCCAATTCAGCTTTCTCCTTTGCCCCCGTGTCTTTACCACAGCCCACCACACTGTGGTATGCGTTCTTACGTGGGGATGTCTGCTCTCCTTGTTTGCTTTCTTATACAGTCACCTGTCCAGGGATAGCAGTATCCATAATGGCCTGGGCCTTCCTACATCAACAATAAATTAAGAAAACATCACACAATCATGCCCACAGGCCAATCTGGTTAAGGAAATTCCTCAACTGAGGTTCTTTCTTTTCATGTTAAGTTGACAAGAGATAACCAACAAAGTCACTAAGATCAGTTTAAAGAGACCCCCAAACCAAAGAAGGAAAGTGACACCTCTTGATGCCAAAGGACTGATAAGAGCTAAGAGCTAGCTATGGTCATGATTCACCAGATAAAAGACAATGAGTGGTGAAGGCAAGGCCTATGAATCTGGGTCTCACAATATCACTCCTAAGGCCAGGCACACAATTCCATTCTAGGGTTGACCACACCAACAGCTTACTTCCTTTATGCTTAAATACCTACAGGTTGAGTTTGTAACACATTTAACAAAAATATAAATATTTATATATACTGATATACTAAATATTTGAACACCTCCTTGTGTTAGGCTCCAAGGACAGAAGAGCAAACAAACAAGACCATAGCCCAGATCCCTATAAAACTTACAGCCTAGTTCCCCAATGACTGGAAGGGACTGCAAATGGGAATGTTATATTTGTATCGCAGTAACATTTGTATTATCATTCATTCATGATGCATTAATAAATGTCTGACAGAGCCAACATGGACATTAAAGGTTAGAGTACATCCAAATCATAACCCTTCAATGAAGTGCTAGAGAGAATATACTCTCCAAGTGATACTCCTGTGTCAGTGTCAAAGTCAGAATTTGGGAGCTGAAGTACTAGTCTCACTAAGCAAAGCCATTTCTTGTGATAGATGCTGACTAATGCCATGTGTTTACCTTGTAGGTCACAGTGCTTAGACATGTCTCACAAGTGGTGCGCTCCCAACAATGACATAGTAACAGGTAAAAAGGATCTCTCTATTCATAAACTAGACCAGAAGTTTGATTTACCACTAAAACCTTATGCTCATTTGCATTCCAGAGTTCATTGTCGAGCAGGAGAGAAGAGGGTGAATCCCTGATAATGATCCAGGAACGGAGTGCTCCCTGGGAAGCCCCTGGGAAAGGTCTTGGACAAATCAATATTGCCAGCCAAGTATTTCTTCCACTGGGGATATGAAGGCTGAAACTCATTGGGCAGGAAAATTCAGGACTGGACCCATGTATCTTTAATTTTGTTAAAGGTTCTGTTTGAAATCATACACAATAGAAGGCAAAATGAATTCTCAACCTTCAAGCAAAAAAGAAGGAATTTTTAAAGATGTAGTTATTAAATGGCCCAGGAGAAATAAACACACATCAAAGGAAGCTGAGTCTGTTATTTCTGCAAAGCCTTTTCTTCCCCTGTTCCTTAAAGAGCAATTCCACTGATCTAGAGGGAATTTTATTTTTATCCTTTCTAGCTTAACTTCTGTTTATTGCAAAGGAGGTTAATATCGTCCCTAAACTTGGATTTCGTAACTCGGCATTAGGACCTGCCAACTAAGATCTTATTGAAATACCTGGGATGAAACAAAACATCATTGACTTGGCCTTGCTCCTATAAACTTCCGTTTTCAAAAGCTTTCCATATCAATTACCTCCCATAACAAAGCAGGAAACCTTGTCTCCTGATGATGCTGAGAGGGTCATATCATCAGTCGGGGCCTTGCTTAGACTTCACAGTCTAATCTAATTTCTTGTAGTTACTCCTGAGAGTCAGGCTGCCTCAATCAATTGAATTCCTAAAGAAAATGAGGACCTCAGAAGTAAACCTGAATTTATTAAAAAACAACCTTTGCAATCAAAATTTCCAGGCACTATGGGGCTTGCTAATGCAGTTCACTCAATACGTGCTACTCAGCAGTTTTAAGGATGTATTTCCTAGACTATACTGAGGTCTCTTCCCATTAAAGTAAAAATATTGAATGGAATGCAATTCATACAATATTAATCCCTTGCTCTACTTTACAGCTTAGTAATAAAGTGATTTATGCTGCCAAAGGCATTTCATGATGTTAATGGTAGGAAGATAGCAGTAGACAGGTGGACCAAGTCTGCGATGGTGACAAAGGGCAGAATAACAGCATATATCTCTCTCTGCAAGGCTACATAACAGGACCATGGCAAAGAGGAATGACCCTGGAATAAATTCTTTATATGATGCACGGAAGAATAATTGATGTCCAAATCAATCTGTCTAGCTTCTGGAACAAATGAATAGCAGAAATTGTCAATTAGATGAACATAGTCTAGATGTAGGTCAACTATCTGCCAATCACAAATGTATCTTCTTCCTAGATCAAATACGTTCTTTCAGATCTAATTATGTGTTCTGTATCCAACTCTCCACATATTAGTACAAGCTACACTCTCAACCATAGTGTGTTTATTCACATGGACATATTTTATCTAATTATGCAATTTAATAAACCTTTATCACTTTTATTTTTTCCTACATCCAATACCAACTAGAATGCAGTAGTGCCATCTTGCCCAGGGATTTGCTGTCTCCCACAGCACCTGCTACAATGGTAAATATGAGACAGACACACACAAACTATCTGTAAATAAAGGAAAACGGAGCTAACATTTTGCCTGATAGAAGGTTATAATACTGTCATTTCCCGTGATCAGATTTGGACTGTTCAAAAAGAAGGAAATCATACCATAAATAATTCAGAACAGAAAACCTGAAAGCCATTTATATTTTACTTGAAATGCATTAAGGCTGGCCACATCTTTATAGAATGGTGCAAATATAAAAACAGTCAACCAATGATGGACGTGTGCTGTGGTGATCGAAAAGATGAAAAGGGCGTAAGAGCATTTGTGGTTGTGTCTGCTCAGTTTTCATCCCAGTCCTTATAGCATCTTAATGTCCTCTTGTGTAGTTTTCTGCCCTATCTGGTGCATTCCAATGGGAAAGCAAACCCAGGCATTACTCCAGGCGCCTCTGACTGATTTCTCTGTTACTGCCTGCCTGCAACCAAAAGAATGACACCTCAATAGCTCTTAGATGACCTGCCCTTTCCTGCAGCTTTCAATTTCAGACCATGTTATGGAAAAACAGAAGCAGAACATTCCAGAGTTGGCACACACGTAGTATGCTCCTCAGAATTTTTAGATACCCACATTCCCAGAGCATCAAATATGTGTCTTGTGGGTTACCTACAGTTTCTAACCAATTTATTTATAATAGTTACCTAAATTTCCTGTTGTTTATGCCCTATTTACTGACAGAGATGATCTGAAAGTATGAATGCTTTGTTCAGTTGTTCTGGAACGGAGTGGAAATGTCCAGCTCTACTTCTCAAAACATCCCACTGTATATTTCCTGGAATTGTGTTACTTTACTAAGCTTTCTTAACCAGTGGTTCTCAATCTATAGGTCTCGACCCCTTTGGGGGTTGAAATGACCCTTTTACAGAGGTTGCTTAAGACCATCAGAAAACACAGATATTTACATTATGATTCATAACAGTAGCAAAATTATAGTTATGAAGTATCAACAAAAAATGGTTGGAGGTCACCACAACCTAAGGATCTACATTAAAGAGTCATGGCATTAGGGAAGATGAGAATCATTGCTGTAAACTAAGTGCCTTCAAAATCAAAATATGCCAGTCAGAGTGTAGGATATCAGGTCCAATGGCTTCCAGAATCATCTCAGTCTACTCCTACTCCTATTTTAATTTTCATACATCTAAATCTGAGAGTCATAATCTAATCAATATCTCACAGGATTTTGATGAAGTTGTAATATAACAATCCTATCATAGCACTCAGCAAAATGTCATTGTAACATAAATCTTGTTTGCCTCCTTGGATTGCCTCTACCCCTCACCTGCCAGACAGTCCTCCTGACTGCTAGGAGGACTCCTTGGCCACTCCAGGCCTCTGAACTAAAAAGTCTCAACAAACACTGAAGGTGTCAGAGAGTGAGACAGAGCTAACACCCTGTGGAACAAGCTACAATCCACTATAAAGCGATAGGAGGGAACCGCGCTGATGAAGCACCTTCTAGTCTGACCCTTAGAATTGGTCACTATGACTTGTCTGAAGCCCCAGAACCTGCTGACTGGCCAGCTGTGTCGCCATCATGGTCCCCAGGGTCTGGACTGTAGTATTTCATAACCCGTTGATGCTCACCAGCCTCCACATGTCTTCTTCCCTTACTCATTCACTTCTCTGCATTTGTACTTCCCAAATGAAACCTGGGTTAAGAGTTCCTACTTGCTTTTTTTTTTACATTCCACGTAACCTAGGCAAACCAAAGATCAAGGCTGTTATTTCTTGACCTAGCTTGACTGGATCTCTGTACTTAAAACCCAGAAGCCAGAATAGAGCAAAGAGGCTGAACATCTATGTTAACATCACATGACATCAAAAGACAGAGGGGCTACTCAGACACTGGAGACTTTTAGAAGGTAATGAAGGTGCGATAGTGATAGTAATGGGGCTCCTTTTCCTTGTCCTTCTTAGTGCCAGGCAGTGGTGGCATATGCTTTTGATCCCAGCACTCAGGAGGCAGAGGCAGAGGCAGGTGGATTTCTGTAAGTTCCAGACCAGCCTGGTCTACAAAGCTGCACAGAGAAACCCTGTGTAAAAACCCAAGAAGAAGAAGAGAAGAAGGAGGAGGAGGTGGAAGAGGAAGAAGAAGAAGAAGAAGAAGAAGAAGAAGAAGAAGCTTTGAATATAATAAGCACTCTATATCAGAACTACACTCACAGCTCACAAAGGTAACTTCAAATAATTAAGCTAAATGCCTCTTAAAGTAATTTTCTAACAAATGGAATTATGGGCTTTTCAAATATTTATATGAATATTTTTCAGATGAAAATTGTAAAGAATCAACTATTTTTAAAAACCAAGCATTTATTTATTTTTTCTGTTCTCCTGAGTCAACCAAGGAACTTTGAGAGCTGTTCATCTGTCTCTACCTCATACATTGATGTTGAAATTCTTGTTCTGTTAACAATTCTTGGAAAGTTAATTGTTTACATGAAAGTTGCCTAGTCTTTTATTAGCTAAGTGGAGTTGAGAAAATTATTTAACCTTTCTGTGACTTTGTTTTCTCTTCTTTAAAACATAATAGCATCTACTTCAAAGATTCAAAAATGAAGAAAATGAATATAAAGATGTCCATGAGGATCATTCAACTGAAAAAAAAAACATTTTAAGTAGGACTTGCATTGTTAGCCAATAACAGTGTATTAGGCCTGTATCCCTGGATCTCCTCATTTGTATAATTTCTCTCCCCCTCAATAAGTTATGTTTTGTTCAGTGCCAAGTATGAAGAGAATATTTTAAATTGTAGCCGGACCCTCTGGCTCATCTAGATCCTTAAAAACCAAAGTCATTTCGGCAAACTATCATTGGAGCCCCAATCCATCCAGGCTTTGGATGAAGATGGGCTACTACAACACATCCTCTTGATGAATGTGTGCCTCACTGCTGGGACCATGTAGTTCCCTTAAATAGAGAAGTTCCACCAATTTGGCACACTGTATGTATGTCAGCCACTAAACTCTCCACTTAGAAAACAATCTCATATAATGTCTGCATTTCTATAAAAAATATCTGATGCTGATTTTTTTAGAAAGGTAATTCTGTTTCCTAACAGTCTTCAACTAATAGTATTTTTTCATTTCTTTCTACCAGAGCTTTCTGGGAGAGAAAATAAACTATCATTCAGTGTCAGTACTCAGTATTTTCATGAGAGAATTGTAGTCTTATAAAAAAATCAAGTATATTTGACAGCATTACTGAGTTGCCTGTAGTTCTCTGTCTAGGTTGAGGCCTTGTGAGATTTGCCCATTTCATGTCTATCAGCGCCATCGTTGTTGGGACTTCACAGTTGAAGTTTCTCTCACATTTCTAGGAGGCAAAAGTTCACAGCAAACTACTTGTTCCTCCTGCTCTTACAGTATTTCTGTCCACTTCTGAAACTGGAACAAAATGGCCTTTTCCAGTTGGTTACCTAAATTCATATACATACAAATAACATTGCACAGACTAGGTATATTGTACATATATTTAGATACACACACACACACACACACACACACACACACACAAATCAGCAAATAAAGAAAAAGAAGGCATGAATTCAAGAGACAGAAAGGATATGGGTACATGAAAGGGGTTGATGGGAGAAAATGGGGAGGGATAATTATTTTATTATATTATATTTACAAAATATTATTTTAAAAGACAGTACAAAAAGCTAATATATACAGTATGACAAAACTTAAACTTGCTGGGCAATGGTGGTGCTCACCTTTAATCTCAGCGCTCAGAAAGCAGAGGCAGGTGGATCTCTGAGT